CCCCCCCCCCCCCGATAATATGGATAAAAATTATAGAGGCTGAGATGTTCCATCTTCTGTAAATTATTCAGCATTTTTTGCCTTTAGTTTGAAAACTGATATTAATCCACAAATTATACAGAGAAAAGGACTCTTGGGTGAAAGTTGTGTGATGTACAGTACTGTGGAAGTCTAATACTTCATAACTTTTAAGTGCTGCCATAGGATATTTAATACCAACAGAAGATTAACATATATAACGTATATCTGCCATTAATATTAAGCATTATTACAATGGCGCATATTTCAAATTGACTTAAGACAGATTTTTTAATTTTGATAAATATGCATTAAATAAAATGAATAGTGAAATTTTCTGAATTCTAGATGTTTGAATTTTATCCTCTGTTAGGACCATCTAAAGGACCAGTTCTTTGGCGTAACATTAAAACATCTTACTCGACAGGAAATTGGACATTAGGCCTTCTTTGGAAGGTAGGAAAAAATTATATATCACGAATGTCTGGCTTTTGATGTTCTTGGCAACAATAGGTATCTTTCCTGTTCTAATACGTTTATATATTGCAAGTAAATATGTAGTGTTATAATGTATATCACTGCCATTGCTTAGGGCAGCAACTTCATAAAGTATCCTTTCGGATAGATGTAAATAGTAAAACAAAACATAGTGTAAAATAGTGTTTCTCAAATTTGGCAACTTTAAGATGTTTAGATTTCAACTATTAGAATTTTCTAGCCAGATAGTTGGCTTGGCTGAAAAACACTGGTGTAAGGGATTTGCATTGTTCTGAGGACTATACTTGGCTTTTAAATATCATGAAACTATTCCAAAAAGTAGCTAAGGTCATGACAAGATCTATTTATGATCTAATTTAATTGCTTCCCATATGTTTAATCATTTTTTCAGTTAACTATAAAAATTACAATTCAGTGAATGTGGGAAGGGGTGGGGAAACTTTAAGAACTCTCTACAGCTGGGGTCCCCCATCTTTGGGCTAGCGGCAGCGGCTTTGGCGGTTTCGACGGCTGGGACAGAATAGCTTCGCACGTGCAACCTAAATCCCGCACATGTAAAATGAAGCTTCATGTGCTCACGTGCTGCTTTGGTGGCCCAGTTCCCAAAGAGCTATGGCCCAGTACCAGTCCATGGCCTGCCCTAGAGGCTTTCCAAGACCATATACACCTTTCTTTGGAGAATATGAAAATATATGAAAAATTATGTAAGACTTTTTTAATACATAAAATATATGTAAAGGTTTTCTAGCCTTTGGTGCTGTGTATTCTAAGGGTCAAGTTGCATACATAAATCCTCAGTTATAAGCATATATACATATATTTCACTGGGTTGTAGAAGTCTTAAAAGATTGTTTGAGAAATCTTGTAAGAGTTTGGATCATATTCTGCTTTGCGTGGAATTTCTTGAAAAAAGCATAAGAGCATGATTGATGTCGATGTCTATTGAAGCTGGTAAGGAAATCAGGTTTTAGCCTATAACGGGTCCCCAAACTCTGGTCCGTGGACCAGTACCGGGGCATGGGATGCCAGCAACCGGTCTGCACAAACAAGGAAAGCCCCATCCTCAGGATGCAAGCAGCACACAAAACCACGCCCCTTCCGGTCTGTGGAAAAACCTCTCTCCACATAACCTGTCCCTTGTGCCCTTAAGGTTGGGGACCTCTGGCCTATAACATTTAATAAAATATAGTTAAAAGCAGCAGAGTTAATGAAGCATAATTAGATTATGCTCTGTTTCAGGTAGACAGGTAGATTACCCTACCACTGCATGTTAACTTTTCTTAAAAAATTAACAATGACATCAAAATTGAATGTATTACACAGCTATTAATTTGATTTCTTTGTAAGCATTCTCAAGTGATTCCTATATATTTGGAACGTGTAATTGTAATTCTGTCTTCTGATCATCTTGATCAGTGTCCAAATATTGATGAACATTATTTCTACCAATGTCTGAAATAAAAAGAACATGAATAACAGAAAGTGACCTTTTGGGAACAAAGCCTGTGTAATGATAGATAGGAATAACTTTGCAAGACGGGAAAGAGCCACAGCTAAGGACAGGTTGGTTAAGAGGCAACTTAGCCCACAGAAGTAATGAGGGCATGACAAATGTCTCAGAAGGGATCATGCTGTAAAGGTAACCGAAAAGAAAAACAGACTTGCAAGATATTGTTAATGTAACCTTATAATAAAGTAGAGCTAATACTTCAGGGTGAGCTTCTTGTCTGGACCACCTCCAAGGTTGATATCCTGTTACACATTCAGTCTGTAGTACCCTCCATTTGATGCATTGAGTTCCGTTCTAGTAAACAAAGTATTTGTGATTTTTTTAGGTGATATTCTTTCTTTTTTTACCATTTAGATTTTTCCTAGGATAAAAAAGTAGATAGAAATACTAGATTCAGTCCATAAGCCTTTGAGAGCATTTCATGTAAATTAATTTTTCATACAGTAAGGTCCCTTATTTTTTTCCTGACAAAGCCGCTTGTAAAAGGATCTTGGGTAAAAAGATTGAGAATTGGCCTTCTTAACTTATTATAACTCACTACTAGTTTGGAACAGAAATGCTGGGTTAGTTGGATGAACATCTGGATGTGTACAAAGCATTTTCTTCATATATCATCTCTAAATAAATTTATTTTTTAACAGGAGTTGACTCCTTCTGAAGCAAATGGAGTAATTTTGAAATATGAAGTATCTATTTCAGGAAGACCGCCACTTTCTTTTCCAACTAGATATTACACTGTGAATACCACGCAACTGATTTTAAATGTACAAAATGGGACATACTATGTGAGCGTTACAGCATTTAACAAAGTTGGTAAATCTCCTACATCAGGTTTGCTTATTCCAGCAACTAATTCAAAAGGTAAAAATTTTCACATAATTTAGTGAGGGAGAAAAATTCTAAATATTAACGTTAATACTAGACCACTTTTGTTTTTCTTATGGGGGCAGTCCAATTTTATTGAAGCCAGTTTGGTTTAATGGTTTAGGAACCAGGCAAAAAAGCAAGAGACGATGGGTTCAAGTCCTGCCTTAGTTATGAAATTCAGCTAGGTGGCCTTGGGCTAGTCACTCACTCTAAGCCCAGTTCTCATCATAGGGCCGTTATTGTGGGGAAAATAAGAGGAGGAACTTAGTACACTTTAAATTATTCAGACTAATTTGTTATTTTGAAGATTTTTCTTCTGTTTGAAATGACTATTTAAAAAAACTTGTCTTTGATTTTCTTCAAAGATAAATAAATTTAAGGAAAAATTTCATCTTTATTGCAACAACATAGCTGTAGCAATTATTTTGATTAGTTCTGTTAGTGAATAGATAAAATATTCCATTTAGGTATCTTAAATATGATACTTCTTATATATACAAGAATCCCAATTAGATCTTAAAGTTTCAGTTGAACAACTGGCTTATGATATAATAATATGATGTGGTTCTAAAATATCTGAAGAACCGTCTCACTTCAATTGACTAGCCTACCACACTTGTTCCAGTGAAAAAGGCCACCTTTGGATTCTGTTGGCCAAAGAATGTCAGTTGGCAGGGTCCATGAGAAGACCTTCTCTGCCGTGGCTCCCACACTGTTGAATATTCTCTCGTCAGAGCTAAGGTTCACCCTCGCACCTCCTGGCCTTCCAGAAGAGCCTCAAAACTTAGCTCTGCTGCTTAGCTATGGGTCCTGACAGGCCTGCTATGTTGGGGGGTGGCTGACCAGCTAGAGAAAATCTCTATCCCCCAGACCGTGTATCATCTTGATTTTTAGCTTTTTTTAATTCAGTTTTTCTAATTGTAATTGTTTTTGGTACATTTTACTTTTTATTATATTGTAAGCCAGCCAAAGTTGCTCTATCAGTGAGATGGGTGACATAGAAATTTAATAAATAAAATTTCAATAGGTATTCTGTAGAATACATATTAAAATTTATTTTCCTTTCCTAAAATAAATTTGCTGCTATAGGGATGTCAGATACGAGAATTTAAAAAAGTTTTAAACTATTGACCATAGCCTGTCAAGATGAGAATAGTAAAAGTGCTCTAGTATCTGAATTCTCTCTCTTGCTCTTAGTGTTAAAAAAACCCCTTGAAATCTTGTTCTAGTTCTAATGTTTTCTTATCTGTGACTGTAGACATCCTCTCTGGCTTGATCAGAAATACGTTGGGATTGGATTGTTCATATGGCCAGCTGTATTATATTTCAAATAAGAGTCTTCAATTGAATTTTGATGTTAAAATTAGGAACTTTTTAGAATGGTAGAATTTTCACTTTATATCTCTTGCAGAATTAAGGTATTTTTTTTTCTAATTTCAGCTCCTGTGAAGAATATTGTTGCATTTCCTGAAGGTGGCAAACTCTGGGTAAATTGGACAGCTCCCAAAGAGTCAGTTAGTAAATATATAATTGAATGGCAAGAAACATGTAGCAATTTAAGCTGCCCTACTGAATGGCAGCAGGAACCTGGCTCAAAACAGAAAACATTTTTAAAAGGTAACCCTAGAGAATAATCTGTCATTTATACAATGGA